AGTTCACGGCTTTGATATCTTAGCTCTGAGATCTATTCACAAGCTAATTAACATAAACACTAGTCATCTCAACATTTAACTCCATCTTTGCCTCTTGACTACGTATTTATAATTTCACTACGTATGTCTGTCTCATATTTATCTCTATTGTTATATCACTGCCTCAATCTATTTTGTCATATCATGAGTTGATCGAAAATGGGCCTCAAAGTTATTTGCGCTTTGGGCACCAATGGGCCATCTTTGGCTGAGAACTTAGATATAAAGCACACCGGTCAACCCACGCGGTTTACCTTGGACAGGGAAATTGAGTTTTCAGGTCCATACGGGGTACAACCGTTTCAATACGGGCAACAACAACAGACGTGTTTGTCTATGTGTTTGTGTTTCTCCCTTGTGATGGGACTTTGTAGGATGAGTGTTGAGATTTATAAGGGTACGGGGTGACCATTATGGTCTGAATTGTTCTGTAATAAGGTAGGCACGGATAAGGGGTTGACAGATATAAGTTCTAACCCTTCTGTGATGCAGTTGTTTTTACTCAAACATTTGTTTAGTTCTTTCTCTGATTAATAGTTCCTTCGTTACTGTTCTTCATGTTCATGCGATTTCTTATTTTAAATTTGGTGACCAAGGTAACTCTTACAAATGAGACTAATTATAGTATTTTAAGTTCTTACCTGGTAAAACAATAAACGTCAACTTGAGACCCTGAGAGCCATTACAACTCTTATCAGATGAGCTGTCTCAGGGTTTCTGGCAGTCGAACATTATTTGAAAAATGCAGGGCTCCGCCATATTGAGTCAGCACTGTACAGGGTGGTCCAGATGTCTTGTGGCCCCCATTCTATTCTGTAAAACTATATATCTTTTTAAGTGACGTTTAACAGTAAATAACGTGAGGGGCCAATTACTTTTGGGTCACAAGACATCTGCACCACTCTGCACTGTACAGCACACACGTATGCTCACTCATTGTGCTTTCCCTAACAATGTTCATTTTGCACAGGTTTTGAGATAAAGCGTCTGAACACATGGATACGACGGAGATCTTTGACATGATTCCAGCCGAGCGCGGACACATGAAGCAATTTGCTGCAACGATAATTTTACTCCTCGTTTTTGGAGTCACCCTTTATTTTTGCGGAGGTGACCTGAGTATTGCATTCCAAGCCTTCTATCAGGCTTTTATTCTTCAGATAATAACGACCACTATTACAAGCCTCTGCTACTTCATGGAGGAGAAGAATCATCTCAAAACCAGGTAATTCTTTCTTCAGGAATCTTGGCGTTATTGCCACGTGTCAATGTGAAAGACACGTTAGTGTTATAGTTTGCAGCATCTGTATAACTGTACTGGACAATAGTGTATGGTTATTTTCAGTGGAAGTTATGATAGCTTCACCTTACGAATTATTTTGTCCCCAAAACGGTCCTTGAAAATGAAAATACTGTAGGTGATGGCTTAATTTGTTTGGGCAGCCATGCATCTGGACAAGAGTCCTCATGAAGCATTATGCAGCTGTGCGTGCAGAATGCCCATTGCGGTAAAGGGGGTGGCTTCCTACTGGTCAAACCTCCAGCAGCTGGACTCGAGTAAGGTTTGAAGGCTGGTCATGTGCATCGGTGGCGAGTGGCATCCAACAGGTCTGTTTAGTCTTCAATGAGTACCAGTAGCGTAACTGGCGTGGGGGCAAGAGGGTGCCTTGGCCCCTCCCGGTGGCAAAAGCAACGAGTTGGTGCCCGTTAACGACCACCATGAGATATGTTTTCAACAGCAGTGTAAAATAACAAAAACTTATTTAAAACGCGGTTTAAATTTATTTTATGAAAATGTAAAAAAATGTGATTAGCCGACTGTGCGAGACGAATCAAATATTGGGGACCAACCTGACTGCCACACCCCTTGAGCTGATAATGTACTTACTGTACCACTGATGAGTACCATGCTTCGTGCACTGGGCTGGGTTGCTACAGCAGCTGGATACGTTGCTGGCCACATTGCCGCCCTCTCTAATAGTGACGTTACCCACCACAGTCTATACAACTACTCAAGGAATCTTGATGTGTAAGCGGCCAGCTGCCCATTGTGAAACAGCTGCAGGATCGGGCTAAAGCAAGAAACGCCAAAGGAGTACTGCTGATATTGGCTGTGCCCTTCAACGTGACTTTACCGAAAGAGCTAAGAATATGAATTACTGCAGTCACGAAAGCTTTAAATAAAAAAAAAAATACACCGTTTAAAAATAAATGCAAACCGCCACTTCTTTCAAATGTTTCTTGCCGTTGGATTTTCACACCTGATGATGACTGTTTGTGTTATGGTCGAAACGTCGTGAGAATTTTTATTGTTATATATATTTTATTATTTTATTGTATCCCTTCAACGTGACTTTACCGAAAGAGCTAAGAATATGAATTACTGCAGTCACGAAAGCTTTAAATCAAAATGTAGAAGCCGTTCATGGCTTCACAGAACACGCCTGCTTTTGCAAATAATGGAACCATACACATTCATGTGTTTGTCTTTGGTGGGTTAGAACCTGATTAATCTGCTCGGCTCACTTTGGAGCTTTATGGCATGACGCCTTTGACCCTCCTGTAACATATGATTCGTGGCTGGGTCGATGCTACTGGGTAGATGAATCTCCCAGCCATTTTGCCTCGTGAATTGGTGCAAAACATGTAGGAGAGCATTGACAAAGTGTGCATGAATTGGGTCCTTAGTCCTCTGTCTCGGTATCTAATCTGGGGTTTATTTGAAGGTCTCTATGTCCGTCTTGCATTTTATGATGTCATAATTTTCCAAATATCCCATTGGCTATGAGTGACATGTCTTTATTGATTGAATTTGGAAGAAAAAAACCCATCTGTTTGGAAAAAGGGGTCATTATCCTTTGTCACAAAATTGACAAACTGATGGTTCTGCTCAGTTACCTTCTGCATTGTGTTCATACACACCTGTGTGTCTTATCAATATTTGTTGTTGTTTGCAGGTATGGAAACAGGTGGTTCAACGTGATTCAGGGCTCACTGAAGCTGCCGTTCACCAAGACGGTGTTGGTGTTTGCATCGGCCATCATTTTCTTTTTCACACAAAACGCAAAGGAGGAAAGAGGAACTCCACAGACCACGATCATCTTCCACATGATGGTCTCCATCTTCACACACTGCGTGTTCTTCCTGTTAGGATTTCATGTGAGTGCTCAATGCCCTGCGTGTGTTTGCATTGTTAAATGCACAGTGAAATCCCAGGTAGGCAAGATTGTGCATTCAGCCGCATGAACCTCTTTAGATGTGCCATATGGTTCTTTCGATAAAGTCACGTAGAAATAAAATAAATAATAGAATACGACGTTTCGATTGCAACACAAGCAACCGTTTTGTCAAGGTCTAATTTCTGTCCTCCGGCCGCTGTCATTGACATGCTAATTGCTCTGCCCCACCCCCCCTCTACCTAATGTCCCGTCACAGAGTCGTTGTTTATCTGTGTGTCTCTGTGTGTGTCTCTCTCTGTGTGTCTCTGTGTGTGTCTCTCTCTGCTTGTGTGTCTCTCTATGTGTCTCCGTGTCTGTGTTTTTTCTCTCTCTCAAATTTAGCAATATTTGGAAGAACGTAATCAACCAGGTAAAGTGTTAACTGTTGTGTTAGCCGACTCTGTTGCATTGCATTACATTTCTAAGTTTACTAGGTTTGTTTTCTCATTCATTCATACCTGATGACGGTTGCTTGAAATCGAAACGTCGTATTCTATTATTTATTTTATTTTCTTTCTACGTGACTATACCGAAATAACCAAACCAATGTTTAAATGTATGAATATAATACATATGAAGTTATTTACATTATGTATAATTTAGAGTTCAATATTTATTTGAGCCTGAGAGGTGCTCACATGTCCTTTGCATTGCACTCTCATGGTGCTTATCTCTCATTAACACTGCTGTTGTGCGCATATGCGGGCATGATACTCTTATGCGGCGATGGAAACTCATTCACGCTAATCTCCCTCCCTAATCCCTCTCTCCATAATCTCCCTCTTTAACACAACTGAGGTGTTTGCGTCTGTGGATGGAATTCCTTTCCAGCTCAGACCCCTCTTGCTTGCCCATCGCCACATATATAACATCTTGTTGTAACAGCTCTCTCGCTGGTTCAGCAGTTCCACTGCTGGATTATATTTGTGTGTCTCTCTATGTGTCTCCGTGTCTGTGTTTTTTCTCTCTCTCAAATTTAGCAATATTTGGAAGAACGCAATCAACCAGGTAAAGTGTTAACTGTTGTGTTAGCCGACTCTGTTGCATTGCATTACATTTCTAAGTTTACTAGGTTTGTTTTCTCATTCATTCATACCTGATGACGGTTGCTTGAAATCGAAACGTCGTATTCTATTATTTATTTTATTTTCTTTCTACGTGACTATACCGAAATAACCAAACCAATGTTTAAATGTATGAATATAATACATATGAAGTTATTTACATTATGTATAATTTAGAGTTCAATATTTATTTGAGCCTGAGAGGTGCTCACATGTCCTTTGCATTGCACTCTCATGGTGCTAATCTCTCATTAACACTGCTGTTGTGCGCATATGCGGGCATGATACTCTTATGCGGCGATGGAAGCTCATTCACGCTAATCTCCCTCCCTAATCCCTCTCTCCATAATCTCCCTCTTTAACACAACTGAGGTGTTTGCGTCTGTGGATGGAATTCCTTTCCAGCTCAGACCCCTCTTGCTTGCCCATCGCCACATATATAACATCTTGTTGTAACAGCTCTCTCGCTGGTTCAGCAGTTCCACTGCTGGATTATATTTTTTCTGCCTGAGGAAGACCGCTTGTGTTGCGATCGAAACGTCGTGATTTATTTTATTTTATACCTACGTGACTTTACCGAAAGAACCAAAGAGTAGATTTAATGTATTTTGGTAATATGTTAGTGATGGGGGATGGCTGGGCGGCGCGATAAGGGAGGGGTGGTGGGTAGGGGTGGGTGGTTACCACGTGTTTTTAGTAATTGCAATAACTGATTGCTTTTTGTCAAATAATCAATAGTTGATGATGATTCCTGTTACTGGGTACAGCAGTAAGGTGCAACTTTAGCTTGTGGGAAAGGAGGGGGTTGAGGTTCGTTAAAGAGCATGTCTAATCCAAACCCACTGAACAAAAAAATACATTTGCCACTAAGTGGCAGTGACAGCACCATAGGTGCTTGTACCAGGATAAGTGTACTGTGGCCACATGAAGTGTCAAATACTGAGATGACTGGCAGACGCACCACCTGTGTCCCCTACTGTACAAACGTGTTGTTTTTAGCCACCCGGTGCTCTGATCGCTGCCATGAGCATTGCTCCTCTGCTTTCCGCTGTTGTTAGAGGGCGAATGCCTCCAGCTGCCTAGTAATGTCCTCACGAGCCTCCTTCCTAGAGTCAATCTTGATACCACTGGTACCATTCATTGGCAAGTCCATGCAGATTTTCATCCTCCTGTACTACATCAGCTTATCTCTTTTGTAGGTCATGCCATGCCCGATTAGCTCCCTCTATCCGACAAAACTGAAGCTGCTTGGACATGCGGTGGCTGGGTATGTGGGCTACATGACCCATCAAATGCAGCCTCGCCTGCCGGAGGAGCTCACCGATAGGAATGTGTCCAGATATTTCAAGGATCTATGAGCTCCTCACACAATTCAATCTGTTTAAACCCAGGATGGATCGTATGCAGGCTAGCCTGAATGTTCAAACCGGCACAGATGTTCGTTCAGAGAGTCATTGTTTTGCAAGCATAGATAAGGGAGGGACTAACTATGGCCGAGAAGACCTGAAGCTTTGCGTGGAGTGACAGGCCGGGTAACTGCCGCACAGTGTTACACAGCTGATGAAAAGATAATGCTGTTCAACTGATTTGGAGTGATACCTTTGCTGCCAAACCAGAGCTGCTCATAAGCACACTACCCAGATATGTAAATGTATCCACTCTCCAAAACTGCCCCATCTCTCATGGGGAGTCCAGGCAGTGGAGTGTTGAATGACACAAAATATCCAGGCAGGTGCTTAGTTTTGGTGGGGCGGATGGTAAGGCCCCCATCTCTTAGTGCCATGCTCCAGGTTCAACAGCAGAGCCTCCGACTCCCGAGAGTGAGCAGAAATTACTATATCATCAGCATACATAACATGGTTGGCCAATAGGGAGCCATCCCATGACCACACAGGCATCGATTAGCCTCCCATTTTATCTGTACCAAATAAAAATTCCTCTGGTACAGCTATTGCAAGCTAGAATTACGTGGTCAAAAAAGCGGTTAAATAACGTGGGAGCCAGAGGACATTCCTATCGCACCCCAAATTGAACAGGGAATGGCTCTAACTCCCGGCCAAGCAGCTTTTCCTGGGCCTGCTCACCATCATGAAGGTCCTTAGTGATTGTGAGCAGTCACGGACCCCAAAAGCACAGTACAACCCAGAGCCTTCACCTGTTGAAGGTATCATAGGCCTTAACCAGATCAATAAATCAGAGATGTTACAACCAGTATGGTCCCCCTTCTTAAAGAGGGGGACCACCAGGTATCCCTTTCAATCTTGCAAAACCCTTCCTGTGGTCCAGACACTTGTGTTTTTGTCATATATGGCAGTCTGCAGACAAATGCCACTCTCCCTCAGCAGTTAGCTTGGGAGATAATGTCTGGCCGGCGCTTTTCCTATTCTTAGACTCTGGATTGCCTTTGCACCGCCTTAACAGATGGCATCTCAGCCAGAGATGGCTATGTCCAATATTTGATGCACAGCAGCCCCAGCAAGGTCACCCCCACCTTGCCTCATGATGTTATCTGGACTGAGGGATTTCCCCTCCCCTAAGAACTCGCAGAAATTCTATTTCGACCTGCAGACCTGTTCCTGGGTGTCAGAGATTGGATCACAGTTACTTCCATTAAGCATGGTGATCAAGTAATTGTTTTATTGCAGTATACTGAATCATATTCCATATCCTAAGTAACCCGCGACCACCACTCATCCTTTTCGCACCGCATGTCTCTCAGAATGAACGCTGTGGTAAGCCTCATTCTCTGACCTGGGATGCTGCAGAAGGTGGAGTTGGCCTGTCGATTTTTCTCAGACAGCTGGAACAACTCCTCCGTCAGCCAGGGTCTCTGGGGAGGTCTGAACTGCGTATCCAATGCGCCTGTAGTGAGGGTCCTGAAGAAGGAACAATGTCGGCGAGGTGTGGTGAGGTCGGTAGGGTCGTGGTCTCTTAACGCCCTGTGCGTAAGCTGTCCGATTCACTTCCTCCCAATGCTTCTCTATATTCATGATTCCATTTCGTTCGACGAATCAAATAGTGAGAAAGTGATCGATTACTGAGGAATTTCTATACCTATGACCCTTGGCCAACACCCATTTCAAATATTTTAAAACAGTCTGCCTCAGCAGCAGATCATGCTTTCCCACCTGATGACGGACGCTTGTGTTGCGCCTGAAATGTCGTGATTTATTTTATTTTATACCTACGTGACTTTGCCGAAAGAACCAAAGAGTATGGATTCCTGCAGTCATGAAAGCTTCAAATCAAAAAGTTTATAGTTTAAATAAAATAGTTTATACTCTTTGGTTCGTTCGGTAAAGTAACGTAGGTAGAAAAAATAAATAATAAATCACGACGTTTTAATCGCAACACAAGCACTCGTCATCAGGTAGACAGATACAGCAGTAGAACTGCTGAACAAGAAAGGGCTGTTGCAACAAGAGGCTATATAGGTTTGAGGTGGGTGTCACCCAAGGGTAAGCAGGCGGGGTCAGAGATGGAAAGGAGTCCCGTTGCCAAAGGAGGATTGGCATGTTAATGCAAACGAGCAGAATGGGAAATGAGCCCCGTAGTCGCACACGAGCATCGTCGTCGTACGCACCGCAGCCGCGTCAAAGGAGGATTGGCATGCTAATGCATACGAGCACAATGGGAAAATGAGCCCCGTCGTCGCACACGAGCACCGTCGCCGCACGCACGTACAACAGCTGCGTTAATGGGAGAGACATACAGCCTATTGAACAGCGAGATCTACTGTTACATCGAGGCAACAGGGGCAGCGGTGGCTATGTTTGTGAAGATGGCATGTCTGTGTCAGAGGACCGGGCATAGCGCCACCTCGTGGGCAACACAAGCTGCGGCGTTGGCTGCTGCACTGAGAGGCCAGCATTTCAACGCCAGAGAACCACCGTAACGGTGGCCATGCAAGTGAGAATTCAGAGAGTCGGAAATAACTGCTAAACAATGGCAGGAAGGATGTAAACATCACAGCAAGTTATGAGTTACCTGGTTAATAACATCCTTCCAATGATTGCTCAGTTTGTATCCATCTTCTCGGTTGAAATTGTGTCTGTGTTTATATATCTGGATGGCTTCATGAACAAATCTTTGATGGTAGCCCGAAGGTTTGCAGAGTACCTTGGTCTCTGAAAAAACAATATCGTGTGAACCGACCGTGTTAAAAACTGATCAGCCACGGCAGAGGTATTGGTTCTGCCGTGTTTCAAATCTGCCTTGTGTTCGCGAACACGGTCCGAGACATGTCGTTTCGTTTCCCCGATGTAACTGCGACCGCAGACACAACTTAGTCTGTAGACACCAGGGTATTGCATGTCAGGAATCACATCCTTCACAGATGGTATCAAATCACGGATTTTGTGTACTGTGTTGAATAGAACCTGGATCTTGTGTTTGTTCAAGATTTTGGAAATCTTTTTGGTAACACCTGCTATGTATGGCAAGGTGACGGTTTTGATTGGGTCCTCAGATGGCTCTCTCCCCATGGTTGGTGATACAGCTTTTCGGATTGTGCGGTTTGAATATCCAGTCATCTTGAGGGCTTGGTGTACGTACTCCAGCTTACTGGCTAGGTGTTGCTGGTCGTAGATGCAACGTGCCCTATGGTGTAGTGTTTTGATGAGGGAGTTCTTGGGCTGGATGGTGGTGGGAATCAGGCTTTAGATAGGAATCCTTGTGGGTGGCTTTCCTGTAGACAGAATGTCCCAACAAGCCATCAGGTCTCTTCTCGATTAAAACATCCAGGAATGGTAGCTTGCCATCATTTTCTACTTCCATTGTGAATTTGATGGTTGGGTATATGTGTGGTGACTGTACTTGTCACTGTGTGGTGCCGGGACTTGCGAAGTCACGGCCGGTAATGTTGTCATTGCGGACAGCCCGGGTTGCGGGCTACAGTACCAAAACTCGCGGTGGTTGGGTGAGCGCTGGTTATCGCGGAGGCACTGCGAGCAGTGTGCGGTGCCGGCTCCCAGTGAGGGAGCGAGAGTGAGCATTAGCCAGCCAGGGTTGCTCTGGGGCATGATACTCTGGCTGACCTGTTGTTACGTGACAGGACGATACTGGAGGGGGGCCACCGGTGGACGGGGGCCGAGGGGCTGTCACGTGGTCCCGAAGAGCTCTCGGGAACATTCGAGAGGGAGGTCGAGAAGCCTGGAAGGTGGGCGGGGCTGAGGGCGTAGCGAGCCCCAGCCCGGGGGCATATAATGAGAGCTCCGTGAGGAGCTCGGGGTTCTTCAAGTGTTGGTGTTCGAAGATCCACGTCAGGGGGAAGAAGCCTCTAGCCACGTGGTCCGGGACCCAGCTTGAGGTCCGGACCGGGATAGCGAACCATGTCTAGTTCTGCCGTAGCGTGGTTAGATTGGCATTCGAGACCCAAGCGTAGGTTGTGTTATGTTATGTATTGTTACGTGAATAAATAGTGTTGCTCCAAAGATAACGTCTCACTACATATGGAATTGATGTGGTTGAAAAATTGACCCAGTGCTGTATGGCCATGTGGCCAGATGACAAATGTGTCATCTACGTATCTTTTCCACAAGGAAGGACGTAGGGTGGATGTCGGGATGGCATCTGTTTCAAATTTCTCTATGAAAACATTCGCTACCACTGGCGACAAGGGAGAACCTATAGGGGTACTTTCATTTTGTTTGTAGAATGTACTATTCCAGGTGAAGTAAGTATTGGTAAGGCAGTGCCTTACCCAACTTGGTAAATCCGGATTCAGTCCCTGTTGGACCAAGTCTTCAATGATTGCAATGGTGTCAGGCACAGGTACCTTGGTGAACAGAGAGACTACATCGAAGCTGACAAGCAAATAATCTGGAGACAGTGAGATGTCCTTGATTAGAGCAACCAAGTGAGCTGAGTTAAGTTCAGCTGAGGTGGTCTTCCCCGTGAATGGAAGCAGGGTCTCAGACAGATGTCGGGCCAGTTTGTAGGTGGGCAAGTTAATGGTGGATACAATAGGACGAAGTGGAGTACCTTCTTTATTGAGCTGTTTGGTCGGTTCAATTAGGGGAGTCGAATTGGTGACGATATTGTTGGGTTTTTGGCCAGGCAGTTGGTAGGATCTCTGTTGATATTGGTATAACTGCCATCATCAAGAAAGTCCTGAATTTTGTTATTATATGTGGTTTTATCCATGATGACAGTGGCATTGTCCTTGTCGGCTGAGAGGATGAAAATATAATCTCTCTTTTTTAATTGAGCGAGTTCAAACCGCTCGTCCTTGCTGATGTTACTGATGGGTTTTTGAGAATAGCAGCGATTTCAGATCTTGCCACATCTGCCGGGATGTGTTCCAAACCTTTAACGCAGCTTCTGTGCGTGTGTACGATGACGGTGCTCATGTGCGACTACGGGGCTCATTTCCCATTGTGCTCGTTTGCATTAAGATGCCAATCCTCCTTGAGCGCAGCTGTTTGTGCGTGCGTACGGCGACGGGACTCCTTTCCATCTCTGACCCTGCCTACTTACCCTTGGGTGATACCCACCTCAAACCTCTATATAGCCTCTTGTTGCAAAAGCCCTTTCTTGTTCAGCAGTTCTACTGCTGTATCTTTCTACCTGATGACGATTGCTCGTGTTGCGATAGAAACGTCGTGATTTATTTTTTTATTTTTTCTACCTACGTGACTTTGCCGAAAGAACCAAAGAGTATGGATTCCTGCAGTCACGAATACTTCTAATTAAATAGTTTAGTTTAATATTACCCTAATTGTACATTGCATGTTTAACTATTGTCTCTTTGAAGGCCCCATCAAAAGCTGACATCTCCGACATATCTGAGAGGAAACATCTCAATGTGGCTCATGGCCTGGCTTGGTCTTACTACTTTGGATACCTCAAGCTAGTGTTGCCAGGTGAGAAAGCAACGTGCATTCAACTGAGCCCGAGTCTGTTCTCGGAACTGCTCATCTACGAGTTTTCCAAAACTTAGTGATAAAACCAGCGCTTAAAGGATTATCCTTGGTGGGAAAGTTAATCAGGTAATTACGTGTAACATCTCATTGTGTGGCTTGGAGACCAAATTTTATTTCCACAAATAAAAAACCTCTCGCAAAGGCCAAACGCACGATGGATATCGTTGCGGAATCCATGCACATGAAGGGATTCGGCTTGCGCGGGGTTCAACAAAGGGTCTCTTTATTGATGACCAACAGGTAACGCACACTGCACGAGACTCCTCTACCCAGAATTCCCTGTCCCCTCACTCTTTCTCCCTTTCCCCTGCCCTCCCCCTTTCATTCTACTCTGCCCCCATATTCCATCACCAATCCTCCTCTGTTCTCCCAACCATCCTTTACCTTCTCGGTTCTTTCGGTAAAGTCATGTAGAATGGAAATAAAATAATAAAAATAAAACACAATAAGATAAAATTCTCACGACGTTTCAGCCACAACACAAGTAGCCTTCTTCAGGTGAAGGAACAGAACTGTCGGGACGACAACGCTTCAGTGAACGCTGCTAAGCTTCGCAGCGTCTTTTAAGCTAGGTGGGAGGAGCAGAGCGCCTTGACAAAGGAGTTTACATATCAACAGGAGAATTTAGCATTGAAATAGCTGTGTTAAAGTGTTGGATTAGCAGGGTGTTAAAGTCAGTAATTAGCATGTAACTGGGAGATTAGCATGATGTTAATGTGAAGGATTAGCATGTAACTGGTCACGGAAATAGTTATGTTAAAGTCAGAGTTTACATATCAACAGATGCATTTAGTATATTGACGCTGAAGGACTGCAACTACCCAACTATCATACAATAAACCGATGTGAAAAAAACTAAGTATAAACTACATCAATATAATAAATGTACTCAATATATTCTTCAATAAGTTGAGCTATTAACATAAAGTAACTGGGTATACACTACACTATATAATGAATACCATATAGTAAACTGATAAAAAACTAAAATATAAACTACATCAATGTTATCAATAAACTCAATATACTCTCCAATCAGCTGAGCTACTAACAATAAGTCATACGTTACAATTCTGTCGAAAAAAGGGTGGCGGTTTTTTCCTTTTCACGAAAAGCGAAGAGCTAAAAAAAACTCATACAACAATAAAATTCAGGACCTACTCAATGATAGTAGTTACTCAAAAATTAAAAATGACCCTACTAATAGCCTAACTGTAAAAACCAACAAGATCATCGCAAGTTCGACCTCCCTAATCGAACCAACTAAATGTCCCTCCCTAAAACCTTCTGCTCCAAGACCCCCTAGATTCTATGGTCTTCCAAAGATTCATAAAGAAGGCACTCCACTACGACCCATCGTATCCACGATCAACTCCCCTACCTATAAGCTAGCACATTTTCTGTCGGATACCTTGCTACCTTTCACTGGCAAGACCTCCTCAGCAGTACCTAACTCAGCCCAATTGGTTTCTATGGTCAAAGACGTTGTACTGTCCCCTGACGATATCCTTGTCAGCTTCAATGTGGTCTCCTTGTTCAACAAGGTCCTGGTACCTGATACCATTGAAATCATTAAAAATTTGGTACAACATGGACTAAACCCCGAGGTACCTACGCTGGTCAGGCACTGCCTCACCAACACCTACTTTACTTGGAATGGTTCCTTCTACAAGCAAAATGAGGGTACTCCCATGGGTTCCCCCTTGTCACCAGTGATAGCCAATGTTTTCATGGAGAAATTTGATTCGGACGCCATCCAGACTTCCACCCTCAGACCTTCCACATGGCCTCCCAGCTCTGAACCTTTTCCTACACCACATCAATTCCAGACATCCCGCCATCAAATTCACCATGGAAGTGGAGAAAGATGGCAAGCTACCATTCTTAGATGTTCTGTTTGAGAGGAGACCTGATGGCTTATTGGGGCATTCTGTCTACAGGAAACCCACCCACACAGATTCCTACTTGAAACCTGATTCCCACCACCACCAAGCTCAAAATAATTCTCTCATCAAAACTTTATACCATAGGGCTCATTGCATTTCGGACCAACACCACCTGACCAGTGAATTAAAACATGTACACCTGGCCCTCAAAAGGAATGTATACTCTGACCGTACCATCCGCCAAGCTGTTTCTCCCTCCATACAGAAACAACCACTTGATACTCCGGTCAAAACCATCATACTACCATATATAGCAGGCGTTACTAAAAGGATTTCCAAAATTCTAAACAAACACAAGATCCAGGTCCGGTTCAATACAGTACACAAAATTCGTGATCTGATCCCATCTGTGAAGGATGTCATTCCTGACTTACAGTACCCCGGGGTTTACAAATTGAGTTGTACCTGCGGTGATTGCTATATCGGGGAGACGAAGCGACATGTCTCTGACCGAATTCGCGAGCACAAATCAGATTTGAAACACGGCAGAACGAATTCTTCTGCCTTAGCTGATCACTGTTACAACGCTGTGGGTGATCACGATATAATTTTCTCCGATACCAAGGTTCTTTGCAAACCCACGGGTTTTTATCAGAGATTTGTTCACAAGGCAATTCAGATTTACAAACACAGACACAATTTCAACCGAGAAGATGGTTTCAAATTAAGCAACCATTGGAAAGATGTTCTAAATCGAACCAAACATTAAACTAATTTTCAATGGTACAGTTTATTTTTTCAAGTAGTGGTACCCCAAACTTTCACAGCTCTTAAAATTCCCTTTTCACACCATCAATATGTAAACTCCCCCTCCCCCCCTTGCCGACCTGCACATGTTCACCCCCTCTACACCGTTCATCATGCTAAATCCGCCAATTAAATGCTAATTTTTATGCTAATTCCTTTGTCAAGGCACCTTAATTCCTCTCACACAGCTTAAAGGTCGCAGTCTGAGCTTGGCTGTGTTCACTCCAGCGCTTTCCTCGAGACAGTCTGGTCCCTTCACCTGATGAAGGCCACTTGTGTTGTGGCCGAAACGTCGTGATTTTTTTTTTTTTTTTTTTAATTTTACCTACGTGACTTTACCGAATAGAACCAAAGAGTATGCGAAGAGCTATGTTCAGACGGACGAGTCCATCTATGCTCGGAACGGAGGAGGGGGGAGAAACAGCCACGATGCGCTGCTCTGTCATGTGTTGCGTTACAACTATGTTATAAACTAGACTACTATACATTGCAAAGTTATACCTTCCAATCTAAACTACATTGTATAATAACGTATACACAGCCCAATGTAAGCTCTAACATTATGCATTATATTGATATGTCTCCAAGTAAACTTTTTTCTACATTACACGACTATTCACCTTAATATACACTGCCATAGACAAACCCACCCTTGAATTATACAATGCGTTACTATACACTACCCTATACTTTAGACTGTACAATATTAGACTTGTAATATTATACTATGTATTATTCTACCAACCCTACTGTCTACCACACTGCTGTATATTCACTATACAATTACGATACTATATATTGCCTATTTATTATTTTACAACATGCTATAAACCATACCATTGACTATCGTGCGAAAGGTATTAAGAGGCAGTGCCAGCGAATGGACTGCGGTCTGAAAGTCACCGTAAAATACAATCAATTAAGAACCGAAATGGTTTATAACGTCTTTCCAATGGTTACTAAGCCAGAATCCATCTTCTCGGTTGAAATTGTCTCTGTGTTTGTATATGTGGATGGCCTCATGAACGAATCTCTCATGGTAGCCGGATGGCTTGCAGAGAACCTCCGTCTTGGAGAAGTCAATGTCATGTGAGCCCACTGAATTATAACAGTGATCTGCCACGGCTGAGGTGTTCCTCCTACCCTGTTTCAAGTTTGCTTTATGTTCAGGGATGCGGTCCGAGATATGTCGTTTGGTTTCTCCAATGTAGCTGCTACCACAGAGGCAACTTAGTTTGTAGACGCCCGGGTACTGTATGTCTGGAACCACATCTTTTACAGACGGAACCAGATCACGGATTTTATGTACTGTCTTCTTTGTTTTTTTTCGGTAAAGTCACGTAGAATGAGAATAAAATAATAAATTGATAAAATAAAATAACACAATATTATTCTCACGACGTTTCGGCCACAACACAAGCGGCCTTCATCAGGTGAAGGGACGAGACTGTCTGGTACGTGACTTTACCGAGAGAACCAAAGAAGATGAATCCTTGCAGTCACGAAAGCTTTAAATCGAAATTTATGTACTGTGTTGAATCGGACCTGGATCTTGTGTTTATTCAGTATTTTGGAGATCTTTTTTGTGACCCCGCAATGTAGGGTAAGGTGATGGTATTGAATGGCGCCTCAAGAGGATCCTTCTTCATGGCTGGAGTGATGGCTTTGCGGATTGTGTAGTCGGAGTAACCATTAGCCTTGAGAGCTTGGTGTACGTGCTTGAGTTCACTGGCAATGTGTTCCTGGTCGGAAATGCATTGGGCTCGATGGTATAGAGTCTTGATGAGATAATTCTTCTGGGATGGATGGTGGTGAGAATCCGGTTTTAAGTAAGCATCCATATGGGTAGCTTTCCTGTAGACAGAGTGGCTCATTGAACCATCAGGTCTCCTTTTAATTAGGACATCCAAAAAAGGTAGCTTGCCATCGTTTTCGACTTCCATGGTAAATCTGATGGCAGGGTGTATGGAACCGGAGACACATACCCCCTCTCTAGCTATTTAAGGCTTCGACACAGAGACGTTGTTTATCTGTGTGCCCATGCGTGTGTCTCTCTCTCTCTGTGTCTCTGTGTTAACGCTTTCTGCTTGTGTGTCTGTGTATGTGTCTCCGGTTTTGTGTCTCTTGGACGTAATCAACCAGGTAGGGTGTTGACTGTTGTGTCAGCCGACTTTCTGCGCTGTGTTGCATTATATTTCTAAGTTTACTAGGTTTGTTTCTCTTTCATTTGTACCTGATGATGATTGCTTGCTTTGCAATCGAAACGTCGTATGATATTACGTAATTTATTATTTTCTATTTCTACGTGACTTTACCGAAGAACCAAAGAATAATTCCTGCAGTCACGAAAGCGCCAAATCAAGTTTGAACCACCTCTACGGGGAGGTTTTAAGTTTGTATTTTCCTCTCTCTCTGTGTCTCGTTGTTGTCTCTCTCTGCTTGTGTGTCTGTCTTTGTGTCTCCATGTCTGTGCCTTGTCTCTCTTCCAAATTTCTCTGTGTCTCATTGTTGTCTCTCTCTACTTATGTGTCTGTCTTTGTGTCTCCATGTCTGTGCCTTGTCTCTCTCCCAAATTTCACACTTAACTTCTAATTGAGCAATCTCTGGAGTGGCGTAATCGACCAGGCCATGTGTTGATTGTGTGTTGACCGACTCTGTGTCGCATTACATTACATTTCCAAATTTTACTAAGTTAGTTTGATTTAGTGTTGCCTCCGTCTCTGTCTCCCCTCGGTTGTTGCTCTCTCCTCCAGCATTGGCGGTGGATCTCTCATTGCGGGATCTCCCATTGACATGCTAATTCTTATAACCCCCCCCCCTCTGTCTGTATCCCCTCTCTAGCTATTTAAGGCCTCAACACAGAGACGTTGTTTCTCTGTGTGCCCATGCGTGTCTCTCTCTCTCTGTGTCTCTGTGTTAACTCTTTCCGCTTGTGTGTCTGTGTATGTGTCTCCGGTTTTGTGTCTCTTGGACGTAATCAACCAGGTAGTGTGTTGACTGTTGTGTCAGCCGACTTTCTGCGCTGTGTTGCATTATATTTCTAAGTTTACTAGGTTTGTTTCTCTTTCATTTGTACCTGATGATGATTGCTTGCTTTGCAATCGAAACGTCGTATGATATTATGTAATTTATTATTTTCTATTTCTACGTGACTTTACCGAAAGAACCAAATAACATAGTGTAATATTACAAGTCTAATATTTTACAGTCCAAAGTATAGGGTAGTGTATAATAACGCATTGTATAATTCAAGGGTGGGTTTGTCTATGGCAGTGTATATTACGGTGTATAGTCGTGTAATGTAGAAAACAGTTTATTGGAGACATATCAATATAATGCATAATGTTATAGCTTACATTGGGCTGTGTATACGGTATTATACAATGTAGTTTAGATTGGAAGGTATAATATTGCAATGTATAGTAGTCTAGTTTTAACATAGTTGTAACACAATACAGGACAGAGCACCGCATCGTGGCTGTTTCTCCCCCCTCCTCCGTTCCGAGCATAGATGGACTCGTCCGTCTGAACATAGCTCTTCGCTTTCTGTGGTGCTAACGTTGAAAAGGAAAAAACCGACACCCTTTTTTCGACATAGAATTGTAATGTATAACGACTTAATATTAGTAGGTCAGCTGATTGGAGAGTATATTGAGTTTATTGATAACATTGATGTAGTTTATATTTTAGTTTTTTATCAGTTTACAATATGGTATTCATTATATAGTGTAGTGTATATCCAGTTACTTTATGTTAATAGCTCAACTTATTGAAGAATATATTGAGTACATTTATTATATTGATGTAGTTTATACTTAGTTTTTTTCACATCGGTTTATTGTATGATAGTTGGGTAGTTGCAGTCCTTTAGCGTCAATATACTAAATGCATCTGTTGATATGTAAACTCTGACTTTAACATAGCTATTTCCGTGACCAGTTACATGCTAATCCTTCACATTAACATCATGCTAATCTCCCAGTTACATTTTAATTCCTGACTTTAACACCCTGCTAATCTAACACTTTAATACAGCTATTTCAATGCTAAATTCTCCTGTTGATATGCAAACTCCTTTGTCAAGGCGCTCTGCTCCTCCCACCTAGCTTAAAAGACGCTGCGAAGCTTGGCAGCGTTCATTGAAGCGCTGTCGTCCCGACAGTTCTGTTCCTCCACCTGAAGAAGGCTACTTGTGTTGTGGCCGAAACGTCGTGAGAATTTTATTTGATTATGTTTTATTTTTATTATTTTATTTCCATTCTACGTGACTTTACCGAAAGAACAAAGAAGATTAATCCCTGCAGTCATCAAAGCTTTAAATTGACAACTTCATCCTTTACCTTTTACGCTAATTTCTCCTGCCGTAGCTTACCTCCAATCATGTTTGCTCTGGCCCTCCTTGGCCTGTCAATCATTCCCGGTGACTATTGGCTGGTGCTTCCCTGTGACCTATGACCAGAGTGGGCTGGGAAAGGCGCTTGAATTTCCTCTCCACATGTGCATGATTTTTCGTTTTTTGTTACAGAACTTGATGTCAAGCTGGCACAATACAAACGTGAAGGACGGACGTTTACAGCGAGCACGCGAAAGCTGTTCATCCTCCTGCCGCTGAGCTGCCATGTGACGGACACGTTTTCTGAACAGGATCAACACATAAGCGTCGATGGCAACTTATCCGAGATTCAGCGGAACCGTGGTGGCGTCTCAATGCGCAGCTTTAAGCACACGGTGCACAGGGTGTTGGATGCCCAAAATGTGGTACGTTTCACCTACGTAACATTCGGATGCCTCTGTAATGGGGATATGCAGTTTAAAGGTTTATAAGGTTGAGCGCAGGAATCGGAAACCTTCGGCTCCAGGGCCGGATGTGGCTCTTTATGGACTGCATCATGACGTTATTTATTAAGGACCACCGTCTTGTATTCATGCACATTTTCTCTCTTGAAATATTGAGTTTTTCACCGAATTCGAAAAAAAATGATCTTGTTATTTTGGTTGCCGACCCCTGCTTTAGCAGGACGACTCATTCACGTTTATGTGGGGGGTCATGATTATTGGATCTTTTTTGTGAATTTGTACATGTTGACGAAGTGTATTTAAATGTAAGTTGTTGTTGTAGTACATGTTTATTTGACACTCGGACATTAATGTCCGTATCGTTCTTCATGGTTTATTTGCTAAGTTCAGATGTGATTTTGCCTGCAGGAGCACTACATCGTGATGGAGTTTGCTACACCACTGCGCTCCCTGCATGACATGTCAAACCAGACTCTTGCAGCTTTTAGCACTGATGATCGCTTGGAGCAGGCCAAGCTGTTCTACTGCACTCTAAAAAAGATTATCCAGAGTGACATTGACATCAGAAACAAAGTCCAGCTGGTGCTTTACGATGGTGAATATACACCTTGCATTAGCATTGTCACTTGGGTTCATGGGCAAGGCCTTACACATTATGGCCGCCACAGTGGCGAAATGTGAACTACCTCGCCTGATATGCTGATGCCTGTAAATTTGGAGTTTGCGAGTCTTTCTCCCCGTGGTCGTGTGGATTTTTCTGTGGGTCCTCTGGTTTTTCCCTCCACATTTATAAACGTGCGTTTATTTTCTTTGGCTGCTATAAATTTCCACATCGTAAGCCACTATCATTTGTGGCCAGGTCGCTTCTGAAAAAGAGCTATATAGCTCAGTGGGTCTTACCTAGTAAAATAAAAAAAATAGTTTAGTTTAAATAGTTCAAGTTTATTTTGTTTAGCCAGGCAGGAACTCGGGGGGACAGAAAGAGTCTGATTTGTGGGACAACAGCAAGCAAATGAAAACAAGTACTGCAACTGTGAAATCTGACTGAAATCAACCAAATAGAAATCAGAACTAAAACAATTGTATTGAAGAAATCTAAAATACTGCACAAGGATAAATCAGTAAAGTTTCTGTCATGAACGTTAGCTATATTTGTTGTAAAATAAACAAAAATAATTCGCAGGAAAATAAATGTACAGAAGCGTCAAATGGATGTAGGATGATAATTATTGCACTCGTATGCAAACAGAACAATTAAAATACTATCATTATGAGCATTTCATATCTTTGTTAACATTATAGCAGCTTTAAAATACTGCTTATGACAACTGAAATGCATTGTGTGTTTTGTGTACAGATACTGCAGAAGCAAAAAACCCTCATTTTCTGTCGGAGAAGATCCTAAAGTATGTCTCGCCGATGGCGGATGAGAGCCCACTGCAGTTTAGCATGGAAGATCAGCCTCAACCACTTAGAAGTTATTAGAAGTAATAACTTCAAGAAACATATACAAAGTTATCGTAATAATCGTTTTTTTCCCATTTTTTCTGGCAACAAAACTGAAACCTTTTTACAAGGAATCATGTTTACATTAACCACAATACCTGCGGTCATAATGCAAACAAAAAAAAACGCTCTTATAATGTATGCATTGTCATTGAGCAGAGATCATACAACCAGGGGCCCAAGTACACAAAATTATTTTTTTCATGTATTTTTCTACATATTTGATGCGAGGTACTTCTACCAAACATACAGTTTCTCTTCAACGTGACTTTACCGAAAAAACTAAGAATATACAGTCTGCCGTTACAGGTCATGCGCTTCTGTTTACAGTGTTGGCTGAACCCTTTTCAACGTGAGCCACGTGAGGGGTGGTGAAAAGAGTGTACAGAAAATGCTCTTAAAATGTGTTCCAAGTAGGCTGCGAATATAGTACAATTCGAAATTGAAAAAAAAAGAGTTCCAGACTACGGGGGCAGCAGGGAATGACTGACCCACAAAGTAACGGTTGACTGAGGGATTTATTCAAGTCGTTGCTTACTGGAGCTGAGAAGGTGTGCATGGGAGGAGAGTAACATGAGAAAAATGGGAGAGGTAGACAGAGGCTAGTCCAGGGGTCGGTAACCTGTGGGTCCAGAGCCGCATGTGTTCACATGTGTATTGAGTCCAACTGAGTCACAGACGTTGTCTTTGGAGCAACACTATTACATGAACTCAACACAACATAACGTAACCTACACTCGGGTGTTGAACGCCCATCTAACCACGCTACGGCAGAACTAGACACGGTCCCGCTATCCCGGTCCGGACCACAAGCTGGGTCCCGGACCGTGTGGCTAGAGGCTTCTTCAACCCGACGTGGCTCTTCAATCACCAACAGTCAAGAACCCCGAAGCCCCACACGGGGCCTCCATTATATCAGCCTGGGCTGAGGCTGGCTCCGCCTCTTGCCCCGCCCACCTCGATCTCTCTGGCCCTTTCCCGAAGGCTCCCGAGAGCTCTTCTATACCACGTCACCACCCAGCGGCCCCCGTCCACCGGTGGCCCCCCTCCAATATCATCCGGTCACGTGTCGGCAGGTCAACCAGCGTATCATGCGCCAACGTAACCCTGGCTGGCTGACACTCCCACTCGCTCCCTCACCGGGAGCCCGCAACGCACACTGTACGTGGTGCCTCTGCACTAACCAGTGCTCACCCAAGCCCCGCTAGGGCTGGTGGTACTACGCCCAGTAACCAGGCTGCACATAATGACAACATTATCTGCCATGGCCTCGCAGGCCCGGCACCATACAGTGACATTCACAGTAACGACACATTCACAGTCACTACACATGCATTGTGGCACTTGAATTTTTTCTCATCAAATAAAAAAATATATATTGCTCTCCTTGTTATTTTGGTTGCCGACCCCTGAGCTAGTCCATGAAGAATCTTGAAGAATGGGTGCCATTGTGAAATTTACTCAGGATTGCATTCAGAGCCAATGGAGCAATTCAAGTATTGGGAGTGGTGTGTTTCTGTTTCTGGTTGCATAGTAATGGTTCATAATTATCTCTCTCGCGTTTTCTTGGAAGCAAGGGTTTAGTGTTAACGCCCCTGTGCTCAGATTAAATAACTCTTACGATTCTTAGGGTTGATGTTGATACCCGAGGCTCGAAAGTTGGATGACAACACTTCCACGATTATTAAGCTCCAGTTGATATCCAAGTTTCAACCAGACAAAGGGAATTTTATGATTCTAAGGGTTCGGTGTTAATTCCTTTTTATTCAGAAAACCAGAATAAGGATTCCTAAGATAATAAAAAGCCCGACTCTCAGTGAGGCAAAGACAAGTTTGGGTTCTTGAAACTCACTATTGGTGTAGAGTTGTTGATCGTTCCATTGCTCTTTGCCGAACGATGGGCATATTTGCTAAATTCGGCTCCTTTTGACAAATTGCATTCAGCAGGGGGTGATTCCACAACCTTCAAGACCTTCCACTGCGATTCATCCCACAAATTCAGCATGGCCCAAAGCAAATAGGGTTGGCATGGGGCTCAGCCGCAGCCTGGCAAAATGATGACATGTCAAGTACGCTTTGTGTGGGCATGGCTGGTCTGTGAGGTGCGGGAGGATGGGCACGGGGCAGCCTATTCCACCCCAATTCACTCGCCCGTGCTTCGCACGCTTGTGGCCGAGGATGCCGAGCACATGGACCTGGGGGAAGAACCGAAATCAGAAAGGGGTGCCGACCGCAAGAAGTGGTGCTACTGTTGATAGAGCCTCACACGGCCTTGGGCCCACCACCCCGAGTCCATTCAGAGTTGAGACATCGCTCCTGTCATGCTGGACTTTTCAGACTGGAGATCACTTTCATAATAAAGGTTCTTGGGTTAGATCGCGTTTATTTATAAATGTGTCGTAACCCTCCACCACCCGACACGGCCAATCAGCAAAAAAAGTGTCACGTTGACAAAGACAAATAATTCACTACTTCAGCCCACCGGTGTGTTGAAGAGTTAATCCACATTTACAGTTTGAGTACGACGTTTCGCTGGTAAATACTTCCAGCATCATCGGGCAATTCGCCAGAATGGTAAAGCCCTCGCTTGCTCCCGGTTTTATATAGGGCAGCAGGGTGACGTCATCACTTAACTCATCAGGTGCAGTGATTAGAGGCGGAGGGGGGGGGGGTGTAATGTAATTATATAATCGATTAGTAATCAGTCATTGGTTATGATTAGTAATGAGTTGTAGATTAGTAATTCTTTAAATCAAAATGTAATGTGTATTATTTAATAATACGCTTCCAGGCGGCACTAACCAATGACTGATTACTAATCGATTATATAATTACATTACACCCCCCCCCCCTCCGCCTCTAATCACTGCACCTGATGAGTTAAGTGATGACGTCACCCTGCTGCCCTATATAAAACCGGGAGCAAGCGAGGGCTTTACCATTCTGGCGAATTGCCCGATGATGCTGGAAGTATTTACCAGCGAAACGTCGTACTCAAACTGTAAATGTGGATTAACTCTTCAACACACCAGTGGGCTGAAGTAGTGAATTATTTGTCTTTGTCAACGTGACACTTTTTTTTTTGCTGATTGGCCGTGTCGGGTGGTGGAGGGTTACGACACATTTATAAATAAACGCGATCTAACCCAAGAACCTTTATTATGAATAATATTGGTCGCGAAAGCCTACGTGTTAAACTGGAGATCACTTTACTAAAAGGTGAGAAGTGCATCGGACCGATAATTATGGACCATTGTGGAATACAAAATGGACAAGGGTTTGCGTGAGGGAGGCCTTTCGTGTGGAAATATGAGAGCAGGCGTTTGAGAGAGGTAGGAAGCGCAACCAGGAAATACATCGGCCAGAGACGCCTGCAGCGTTATGGAGACACTCAAGGATGGAATGGTCTACGTTGCCAAAAGCATCCAATTGGTCTAAGTGTGATGTGTTAAATATGTAGTGACATGACGGGATGTCACTGTGCAGTGCCGGCCCTAGAGGCACGGCGTGCAATGTAACGACATCGCGGACACCACTATGATGTGGATGTAGTACCGGCCCTAGAGGGGCTCGGTGAGCGCTGGTTGATAGCGCTGGATAGTATCACACTTGGCATGCAGTCCCAGGCCTACAGAATAGGGTGTGGAAGTGCCGACCGTAGGAAAGGAGTTACTAAAGGCCATGGCACTCTGGTTGACCTGAGAGGACACGTGACCGGCTAAGTCTACAAAGGGGCCCCAAGTGGGGGCTAGGGTTGGTCACGTGGTTGGGGTCCAGATCCTGCTCGAGAATTCTGGAAGGTGGTCGTGGCCAAGGGCGGAGCCAGCCACACCGCAGAGAATATAAGCCGGGTCCCCCAGGGGGACCGGCGTTGTTCATCCGGAAGAAACCTTCGTCTACGTTCTACGTTCTACCGAGTCTCCAACACGTGGATCTGGACCCGAGCTGCGGTCTAGTCCATAGCTAGTTACGTTGTAATTAGTGTAATTAGCCTGGAGGTCACCACCATAGGTTGTTATTCTGTCAAGCGGCAGTTACCCCGTGTGTTGGTGTTAAATAAATCTGTTGCCTCCAAGAGTACGTCTGCGACTCAGTTGAACCCACTACAAATAAATACTTGCCACCATTGTATACAGTAGGTCGTGTGTTAGATCACGACCTTGATTTCTGTATATTTGGAGTTTTCATGTTTTCTCCGTGGTCCTCATTTTATCCTCCGCATTTAGAATGAAAATGCGTTTAGATGATGTGGCTGACATACATTTCCACATAAACCACTTCATTTGAACTATCATTGGTGGCCGGGTCGTTTCTGAAAGCAGCTATATAGCTCTTTGGGCCCGACCTGGTAAAATAAAAAGTTATTAGTGTTTAGGATGTGTAGTCTGTTATTAACCTTGTTACTCATACAGTAGACCTTGCTTCACGCAACCTTGTAGAATGCCGATTCGTTATAGCACTCTTTGTCTTGGAGAAAAAAACATGAAATAAGAACAAAGCGCATATGTATGCAGCCAATCACGCTAATGGGATGTTCGATTATAAGAACAAGCTCAAGCGCTGATTGAGGAAACAAAGCCACCCCCATCAATCGCTCAGCCAATGAGAGCGACGTACACTCTCAGGCAACCCGAACCAACCCCATGCGTTTCGATTATTACAATTCATAGTGATGCTTACATAAAACTTAAAAATTAGCAACGTCAGCCAGGTGAAAACTCACGAGACCAGGACAGTCTCTGTGGCTCCACCTAAAAAGAAACCTCATCACAGTAATTTAGACTGATGGCATCACTAAGATCACAGAGTTCTTGGAGCTCTTCTCTGAGAATGACCAGGATTGGAAGCGCAGCAGCTCCTACAGCCTCTTCTTCCATCGTTGCCATGTAAGAGTACAGTAGAATGCACTTGTAAATACGGTGCATACTACTTAATGATGTATTTATAATAGACTTATAATTATAAAATGTGTATCTGTATTATTAGAGCTGTTACCGATACCCCAATGCAGCTCTCATATCTTGCTCATACAAAATAAATAATTTGAGGAACGCATCCCCACATATACAATTGGAGTGGCATCGCACTGGCTGCTGGCGAAAAAGGGGAACTGCAGTGTACGGCAGTACTGAAGTCAGTAGGCCATGATATACACGAGGGGCACATATAGGTGAAAGGTCACACAAGGGGCCCATCGGGAAGCCTCGGGAATCCAGTAGTAAGTTTCAGAAAGGGGGCGTGGCCGGGGCAGAGCGAGGCCAAGCTGAGAGGAGAAGAGGGGCCCCTGTGGGGGACCTCGTGGCTCTTGCTGGAAGTGGGAACACGTCGTGCTGCTCAAGTCCATCGTCATCACCATCTCGTCGTCGTCACCATTCTTCTCGTCGTCGTCTCCGTCTTCACCATCCCGGGGCGCTGCTAGTCAGACAGCCTACCAACTGTTTTAAGTAGTGCTACCGACAATAGTGTGCACCCACGTATGGTGTTTTCCCGATTGTGCTTGTTGAATAAGGGCCTCCAAGTCTTACTGCCTCTGAGTTGTCACTACATAATGGTACAATTACCCTTTTTAGTGCCGATTTGATTCACGCTCACATTTCAAGGAACGTATCTTGATCGTTAAGCAAGGTTCTGCCTGTATTCTCCCCGACGCTTAATGATTTTGTGTTATACAGTATATATTTTCTGTTGGAACTATGACCCATATGACAGGCAGGGTCCTTGCCTATAAACACATGAAGGGAGGTCATTCACTACGGTGTAGATCAGCTCTGATAAAAGATTGATGAATAAATATAATAAAAAAACATTGCCAGGCTTTTATAGACTACGAAAGACATCTGATTCAGCTAAAACTGATGCAGTCATCCAAGCGATCACACAGTCCTTAATAAAAAATAAGTAGAAATATTCAAGTTTAATTTAACTTACGAAGGAAAGTACTTTAAATTAAAATATTACACGTTTCAAAGCAATGAAAAACAGGCAAACATAATTCACATGCATTTTTCTCAGCCTCCTTGCATTGTTGTCCATTATCCAGAAGGTATTTTAACCAGTGCACATTTGAAATGCAACTGGATGATACAAGCATGTAAACAAGTTCCTCCACCGCAAGGACTAAAAGCAGGTGTAGACAACAAATCAGCAAAGTGACAAAACCGACGTAACATTTCATTCACCACTCGAGCCTCTTAAAAGCATTTGTCCCAATGTGCGATCTGTGTTGTGTCACGAGATAAAGAATCCATTTAGAACTCGCTGAGCATTGCATCAACCTACCGGAGAGCGGCCCGCAGAAGGCAGTATTCCAGAACAAAATCTGAGATATTCTTTGGGTCTTTCGGTAAAATCACGTAGATAGGTTAAAAAAATATAAAAAATAAAAACGACATTTCGATCGCAACACAAGCGACTACCTGTGTTGCGATCGAAACGTGGTAGTTTTTGGCTATTTTCTTTTAACCCATCTACCTGACTTTACGAAAAGACCCATAGAATATTAATTCCTGCAGCCACGAAAGCTTTAAGTCAAGATATATCTGTAGAACTAGGGAATGCTCTACTTTTCTACAAAACCTGCCACATAACCTCTAATTGCATGCAAACCAGTTTAATTTATAGTAATACCCCTATAAATTTGTCAAATTAAATGAGAAATCAAATTTAATGATGGTGCCTGGGCTGAGACCATCGACTCACTCTGCTCAAACCACCCGGTTTCATCGTGGGCTGCGGCTGCCTGGACGCGAACCCAGGACCTCGGGTGCCTGTCACTCCGTGCTGTGAGCCCATTGCCACCCGGCCAGCTCCATTACCTCTGCTCCTTAAATGACTTCAGTTGCATTCTGAGCAAATTAACTTAAACGAAGTTAATGAACTATCAGCTCCACAATGCACAACTTGCTAACCGGCAATAAACTGTATATGTAACTTCCACACCACCCCAAACATGAGGATGTTTTGGAATCTAGGTCCAGAATAACAAGTTTGATGCTCATCTTGTAGACGAAATCAATACAATAGTTAGCGACGCCACTCGGAGACTTGTTTTTGACGTGCCACCATAATGCCGTGGGAGCAGGCTTCCGGGATCCTTGCCATTGCAAAGGGTACCACGACCTCGTTGTGAACTGTTAAGAGGTGTCAGTTGTACTAGGTTTTACAGCAGACATGATCCCCAAGCTACGTGCACTGTAGTCCTGGACACACTGTGGGGCGACGCTTGCTGCCACTGTTCCACCTCCGCAGTGAGGGCACCGGTTCACAACTCTGTGTGAGGGCTTCGATAAGTCTGGTTGGTGACCGGCAGCCGAGCCAGGCGTGCCCCGTAGTAATCGATGATGTAACTCGAACCGTCCGAGGGTCCAACGATCTGCGGCGGGGGGCAGGGGGGAGAGGTGAGACGTGGCCACGGAGAATCAATTTGAGAGGAAGTTGTTGATTGAGTTGTGCTCGAACGAAGTGGTATCGTGAACATATATGTTTGTATGGTAAACACGGTACTGGAGCTTTCATGCCGATCGGGCTGTAGGCGTTCACGACACAAAATATCCACTGGGTCTCTCGCAGGGCAGTGCAACCCTTCGCATTACAGAATGGTCTGCAGTGGTGGATATCATAGAGCTACCTCAGAGATCGCTGGTGACCTCTGGTGCACTGTAGGAGGCAGCACTTTCCCACACGCACTTCTCAAAAGGAATGTTTGTCACATGGTGGACAAACCGACTTTTTTATACTTGCATCTGTAGCCAAGTTAATAGCAGGACCAAATTGAACGTATTGGGTCTCTTTTTTTGTGTGCAGTCATTGGTGACTGGGCAATCAGCTCACTCCACTTGGGGACCCTGTTTAGCTGCTTGCATTCAAAACTAGAATCTCGGGAGGGGCCAGGGCTGCACCATGGCGCCTTTGAGCCACACTGCTCACACTGTTCACTCCTAAATGCAGAAGCAGACTCGGCTCAGGGAGTTGAACTCTCACCTGCATGGCAATGAGGACAAAGTCTATGAGGCTGCCGATTCCACAGAAGCCGACCGTGCAAAACTTGAGCAGACCTGAGAGATGCGCACACAGGAGAGCAAAATGCATTAAGCGAATGTCATTGGGAGGACTTGATGCAATGACTAATTTATGATGTGACTCGGTGGTGGCATAGGTAGGTGGTGGTGTGGTTAGTTGGTGGAGCTACTCGGTGGTGGTGTGGCTAGTCAGTGGTGTGACTAGGCAGTGATGTTGCTAGTCGGTGGAGTGACTAGTTGGTGGCGTGACTTGTTGGTGGAGTGACTTGTTGGTGGAGTGACTAGGCGGTGGTGTGACTATGTGGTGGTGTAGCTAGTTGGTGGAATGACTAGGCAGCGGTGTGACCAAGTGGTGATGTGACGAGGTAGTGGTGTGACTAGGTAGTGGTTTGACTAGGCAGCGGTGTTACTAGGTAGTGTTGTAGCTTGGCCTGTGAAGGAGCTCCTACCCAGAGCAGGGTAGCCCAGGTAGAAGCGGTCAGCTCCAAGCCAGCCCAGGAAAAGTGAGAACGCCACTGCGACTGTGTAGTGGTAGCCGTTCCTGCGACGACAATAGCCGGTGTTATCTAAAGCACTCCTGCACAGTTTCAAGTCACACTTTATGCTTTACAGCAGTGTTCTTCATATCAAGGCCTGCAGGCCATTGGCGGCCCCTGGTGGCCTTTAGTGCAGTCCCTGATGTGAGGCCTATGACAATACCCCATCGTGCTGCATGCCAGTGGTTTCAAATGTGTGGCGGCCCTTACACTTGTCTTATTGGCGAAAGTGGCCCCCCTCTGAAAATGAGTGAAGAACACTGATTTACAGCAACTTTAAAAGTCAAAATCAGTGCATACATGTGACAATATCTTATGAAGAGAGCTGTCAGGACAACTAAAAACGATAGGAAATAAGTGGCACCATCTGTACAGTAAACTTATACAAATGCCTGCCTTGAGACACTTTTCATCTCATCGGCTAAGCACATTGATGCGTGCAGTTAATGTATTTAAAACATCGTTTGTGCCTGATTTACTATTTACTATAAGAGTTATCACACTATACACCGTATGTACATTGTTTTTCACATTAAGGTCACCACCCCTGATCATTCCTGTGGTATTTGGGATCAAATGTCCAATTAGCTTACAATTTTCAATATAAACATGTAAAATTAATCTTCCAACTGCTTGAAGTTACACATTTCTATAGAACACGGCAATGATCTTGATCATCAGCTTCAAAGTTGAATATATAAGTATGCAAATACACAGAGAGCTGTGCGAGAATGATTGTAGTGAGACGAAATAACTCTGGCCAGGTGACTCAGCGGTCGAGTGAGCAGCTCACAATCGGAAGGTTTGAGAGTTCAATGTTGGCTGACGGTTGATTCAGCCCATCATCTCTCTGCGGGTCCATAAAATAGGTACCATTTCGTGGAAAAGTCAAGTGGTAGTCGTATGAATAGACCATTGGCTCAGAGCTAAAAACAGGAAGTGAGCAGCACCTCAATGCTTATTTGAGCAGGAAATCACTCGGAAGTCTGAGATTCGAGTGACTGCTGTCAACGAGGTGAAACTACATGGCCAATCGTTTCTCTGTCATAAAATGCGGCTCGCGATTACCGACGAGCCGTCGAGATGGGGACTCTCACGTGTCACGGCAGGGCACAAGCTGCGTGAAGCCGACTCGCTCTCCATCGAAGGTATTCTCCTTACCCTGTGCATCCATGCACGTCACGTTCGGTGCTGGGTAGCATGGCACTGCGGATCGACGCACACGCGCATACCATACACGCACACACACATGAACAGGCAAACGTGTGTAATATATGTAAACATGCACACACTGATCACCATCTGTTTCCATTTGGAATAGTGTTACATCCTCGCGTGCATGGGTGTTATCTGGGTGCTCCGGTTTTCCTCCAACTTGTATAAACACTCTTTCGCTGATACTTTTAAATTGAAAACTCAATGTACCAGGACTCTCCTGGAAACAAGTCCTGCAACTCAGTGTGGCTCTCCTGAATATATAAGTAAATTACAGTTTTATTATTACTAAATGTTCAGAGACCCCCACGGGCTGCTTACCTGGCGCCGTTCCGTTGTTGCACCCGACCGGCTCCTGGGTGGTGTCGTTAATGATGGGGCTTGAGCAGATGTATGTGGCAACAACGTCAAGGAGCAACACCTCAACTCCGTAAATACACAACAGCTACAATAGTGAACGCATCAGTGGTCATTAACAACACGCAGTTTCCCATCGACACAGTGCTGGCGCTTCGATTACAGTATATCAATAATCCTGTTACCTCTGTAAGGGATGTCAGGGGAAGGATTCCCACCAAAAGGAGGGGGAGTGGGACGGTGACAGGAGAAGGGGGAGGAGCAAGAGGGGAGATATAAGAGAGAGAGAGAGAATGGGCGGGAAGAGTGGAGATCTTGGCGGGAACTAGCTTGAGAAGGCTGGGGACGAATGTGGACTGAAGGAATGAATAAAAGACGAACCATCTGCAACCTTGTGTTGGCTCTCCTTTACACCTCTATAATGGGACAGGACTAATAACGCTTGGATGGGCGACCACCGTGCTGATCTATACAACCTGATGCACAAATGGAAAATTAAAAACTCTTCAGTGTGTGATTGTGGTAATACAGAACAGACCGTATCGTGTATAACGACACAATGCCCGATCCACAAATACGGAGGCATCAAAACGATGCAGTCCACTACTCCTGGCGCGATTATCTGTCTAGCTTGACCACCTGAATGAAATTGTAGTTGTTTCTCTGTATCTACATCAGCCATACGAAAGAAGTGCAGCAACATCAATTGTACTGCACTACGTCCGCGCCCTTCAACCGGAATTGATGTTTCGAATGATGCAACTGCGATGTTACTGCTTACTGTAGCTTTAACTCACAACGCCGCTTCTGCAACTGATTCCAATGAAGTCACCCTCAGAAAATCGTTCCTCACCCGGCACACAGCATCCACTGTACCTCTCGCTACGGAAGTGGCTTACTATTCACGTACCAACTCTACTGGCTACCGCATCTACTGCCTATAGAGGAGACCAGTGTTGTTAGCTAGCAGATCAGAACATTCCCCATCACCAGCGGGCACTCGAATCCGGAGGAGCCCGACCCGCGGATGGGGGAAGAGCGCACGGCTGGTGGGGGGAGACGAAGGGGGTACGGGTGGGCAGGGGGATGCTTAAGGGGGCGCGTGAGGGGGGCGGCTGGCGAGAGGGGGGCGCAGGGTGGACGAGGGGGGGTGTCTGGGAAGGGGGCGCGTGAGGGGGGCGTCTGGGAAGGGGCTGCGGGTGGGGTGACCGGGGGGTTGTCACGCGGGGGGGGGGGGATGCTGGGGGTTGCAGGATGCGACGGAACGGTGGGGATATTAGGGGGGGGGGGGGGTACCTTCCACGATTGAAAACAAATCTAATAAGAAAATAATTTCTTTAGAACGGCTTTTTGTGTTGAGTTTGATGTCCTTCACCCGCACCTCCGATGAGCACGGTTGGCTACGTGCGGTGCGAAAGAAGTTCAACATAACCTACAAACATACGAGCCTCGTACGCGTCAGCCGCTGCTGGCCAGGTTGCCGACTCCCGTCTAAGCAGCACGTGCCCCTTGAGGATATTGTCCCAGGAGAAGGCGCTCACACTTGTCCGCCGCGGCGCTCACGCAGAGGAAGAGGCACAGGGAGACGCGGAGCCTCAGGGACACCGGGAAACGACACGCGGCACGGGCGGCCATGGCTCCCTCGACGTCCTCGCGATTCACGGCGAATCGAGATTTAATCGTCGCGATTCCGGTGCAATGTTTGTCGTTTAGGTCGATTATCGCACGGAGCGATTCCAATGCAGGATATTGAATACACGAGTGGCGAATCCCCTGTACAAAGCGATTCCCGCTGTATCGATTCCTATGCATTAATTAACCCATGCAGCGATTCTCCAGTTCCCGCGTTTGGCCCGACCCTCGGGGTGAGAATTAAATTACGGAATGGATTTAATCCGCGCAACCTGCTAACCAACAATCCAGATCCTGGCTTTATAATCCTGATCCAACTTTCTTGTAAAATCCGTGCCATTTTCTCCGACACCCCGACAATTGGCGCGGACGAACCAGCCAGGGCAAGGGGGGAGCTGAGGATTGAGGCAGGGGGTGAGTGAGGAGGTGAGTGAGGAGGTGAACAGTAATCCACACTCCCCGCTTAAATAGCGACACTATGGTAATTGATTATGAAAGAGAAGCACGGTTCAGCAGCCATGAGATCACCCAAGAGGCCTTAAGTCTGCGTGCTATATGGCTGCGTGGGTCCATGGGTTTCTATGTGAGTCTATGGGTTTCTGTGTGGGTCTATGGGTCCGTGTGTGAGTGTATGAGACTATGTGGATATTTGATATTAGCGAGGAGCGATAGTGTAGCGGTTAGCGCGCTGCGCTATGAACCTGGCCCGGGTTCGATTCCCGCTCACGGCCAACACCAGTGACGATAATCATAACCGGTCCCGGGCCTCCCCTAGGTCGACTCAGCCTCAAATGAGTACCTGGTGCGGTGTGTAAACATTGCCACTAGGGAGACAAAGGCGGTCGGGCGTGGTGCTGGCCACCCACCCCCTCGTGTACCGTTCCGGCCTTCATAGGTGCTCGCTAACAGCACTTGCCCCTACAGTCTGTTAAGGCTATACGGGGGATCTTTGATCTTTGATATGGGTCTTGATGTGAGTATTTGGATCTCTACGAGTCTGTGGATAGCGGAAGTGCAGTGGTTAGCGCGCTACGAGCCCGAGTTCGATTCCCACTCAAGGCCAACAGCAGTGCCGATTATCTGCAGCGGTACTATGCCTCCCATAGGTCCACTCAGCCTCACGTGACTACCTGGTGCGATGTGTAAACATCAGCACTGGGGAGACAAATGCGCTTGGGCGTGGTGCTGACCACCCACCCCCTCTTGCGCCGTGCTAGCATTCATAGGTGCTCGCCGACAGCATGTGTCCCAACAGTTCAGTCAGACTATACGGGGGATCTTTGTGCGAGTCTGTGGGCCTCTCTGACTCAGTGTATCTGTGTATTTGACGACAGTACAGTGTGGATTTATATGCCGCCTGAATGTGACTGCATTGTCATACCGTTGTACAGAAACTGTGGGTGTATTAATTTTGGAGAGGTATGCAGTCAATCATTAGGTCTTGAACTGGGAAGTACACGGATGGTTGTGGGAAGGGAGTTCCAGACGTGGGTGCAGTCGATAAGAATGAGCAACTTCTCAGCCAGGTTGCTGAAGCGCTTCGATGGGAAGTGTTACCGGAGCGGAGAGAGTGCGCGGAGAAGGAGCAGTGAGATTGTGCCACGTTGCTGTACCTCCCTGCAGCAGGGCTAAGGTGTTCCCTGCAGGTCTGACGTGTTGCCAGCAAGAATGACGTGTTGCCAACAGAACCGACGTGTTCCCTGCAGGACTCACGTGTACCCTGCAGGCCTGACGTGTTGCCTGTGTAGTGACATCGCGGATGTCACTATAGTGCCGGCCCAGAAGGGCCGCGCCGTTCGATGTTCATACATTGTGGACAGCACCGTGTGGGTGGCTGTGTGTAATACCAGCCCTAGCGGGGCTTGGTGAGCACTGGGATAGTGCGGGCACCACGCACAGCGTGTGGTGGGGGGTACCTTGCGGGAGTGCCTTACTACGATAATCCCCACTCCAAGCCAGCCTAGCATTCTGCAAAATATTACATCCTGCCTGCAGGGCTGATATTTATCTTGCAGGGCTGACATCTCACTGCTGCTGCCGGCAAACCATGTGGTGTGGCAGTGGAGAGGCGCGCGTGGCACTACTGCGGCTGGTCGGGGTAGCGGGCGTGGGCGCCTGCACCAATGACGTCCTAGTGGCTTGTCCCGTCACCGCCGAGTCTCCTCTGCGCCACGTCGTCTACTTCCCCGGGGACATACAGGTGCCGGCGCGACGCAAGAGGCGCTGTACAACGCTGGCATTGTGTGACGCGGTACCTCTTATGGGCATCGTTTTGTGCATGAGAGGACGAGGGCGCCGGGAGAGATGCCGGCACTCAACCCTCTGTGCCGTACCGCCACAGGGCTACCGGGACGAGATGGCGGCAAGCCCGGACAGCGCGCGCTGGCAGCGCTGGAGCCTGGAGGAGACGGCGTGCCTGCTAGCGCGCCGCTTCCCGGGCCGCTGCGTGTGGCTGGTGCGCGCCTCGCGCATGCACCTGCACAAGTTCAGCTGCTACGACAACTTCGTACCGAGCAACATGTTCGGTGCGCCCGAACATGCAAGTGGCCGCACGGCGTTCTCCCACCTCCACCGGCTGCTTTCCAACGCTAGGGCGGAGCTGCTCGGTGCCACACGCGATGGGAGCGAAGCCGGTGACTGGCACAGCACGGCGTCCGGTCCATCGGGCGCGCCGCCAACGACCGATGGGAGCCGCGACGAAACGAGCGGCCCTGTGGTTGGCGAAGATGCACGGAGTGCGCCGGAGCTCAGTAACGTAGATTCGGTGGCCCTCCTCCGGAGCGAGGAGTTCTTCTCGAGGCCGCGCACCGTGACCCTGGTGGGCTTCAGCAAGGGCTGCGTGGTCCTCAACCAGCTGCTGTACGAGCTGGCTGCCGCGCAAGGGGACGCAACGCTGGCACCCGTAGTCGGCGCCGTGCGGGACATGTACTGGTTGGACGGGGGCCACTCTGGGGGTCGCGACACGTGGGTGACGTGTTCCGACGCGCTGCGGCAGCTTCACACCGCCGGCGTCGACGTGCGGGTCCATGTGACGCCTTATCAGGTGTGCGACCCCATGCGCGCCTGGATCGGCAAGGAACAGCGCAAGTTCATCAGCGTCCTGCAGGAGTTTGGGGCGACGGTCACCGAACAAATACACTTTGAGAAGGAGGCCTCCTCTTTGGAGAACCACTTTCGAATTCTGGAGAACTTCTGAGTGGGTGATTTGCTATCCTGGCTTGGGCCGGTCACCAGGTTTGCTTTGTGTGTCGCAGACAGCGTGGTGTTTATTTTTCTTGCCTAATTGTATTAGTTTTCCGCAGGGAACGTTTAGTTTCCATTGAGAAAGCTCCACACCAACGCAGCTGGCACGTTTTGAATGAATTTCCTTCTGCGTCTTAAATTACATATTTTATTCTAAAAGTATCTCAGCCCTTTGTGGCTTCTTGAGAGTGACAGTCCAGTCGACACTAGTCCCTGGCAGTGTGCAATCCTAGCGCGGCATGGCTGGTAGATCCCAGCAGCCCTCCCCTGAATTGGTATAAGGACGACAGGCACCGTGTGAAGACCGGCCAAGGTGCTTTCAGAGCTGGTGGTGAGTGCCTGTTGTTTATTATTCCGTTTGTTTACCCGGGAAAGTCTCGCAACTCTATTTCAGGAGGGTCATTTATTTTCACAGTAGGGGGTGGCAATTATTGCCCTGTATATTCCAATTGAGCCTAAAATAATACACTTTTTATACTGGGCTGGCAGTGGTGCAGAAGACAAATAAATAAAGAACTCAAACGTGTGGCAATAGCACTGTGGCATTTACTGGACAAATGTGTAATGGGCAACGTTCGAGCAATGGCCCTTCATAGAACGTGAATGATGCATTCATGTTCTGTGAAGAAGGTCCATTACCTCAAACGTTGCTTATAATTTAGGATTCCTTTTAAGGCCAGACTAAAATATTACAGTGAAGCTGGTGGTGTCATGCTGGTGTTGGTAAAAATCGACCAAAGCAATTCACAACGGAGATGGTCGCCCAAGCTAGCTCTACTTGGAGCTGAAAACTTTTCCCCAATTTCCGTCCTCACGCATTTGACTTCGGATGGCGTGAGCGACACTTTACGCACTGTGCAGCGTGTGGAGGTTTTTAAATGTAGGTTGTTTAACCGGGTAAGATCTCAAGAGACAAGATAGTCTCGTTGCAATTGTGACCTGGGTCACCAAAATGAGGATACTTGGTGGCTCAGAGATCAAAGACTCAAGCGTGCTATGCAGGCGCTGTGCAGGCCCTCATCCTATCCAGCAGCTGCACATGTATGAGGCTTTTGTGGCAGGCCTCACAAAACAATTACCTCAAAAAAAGGACGGACACACTGCTATGCAGAACGAGCTGAAGGTGTGTAGAGTATTCTTTGGGATTGCGAGACAATCGGCCTCCACTGACCACCTTGCAGGCTATTCTGAATAAGGATTGAGAGTAGCCCGAAATGCGACTGCGGTTTCCATTCTGAAGCGATGGACTGCACAGGAATGCCACTGCCCATTGTGATTATTCGCCAACGACAGCATTCGGATGTCCCCAATGCTGCTCTTGAAGCCGACCCCGGCTCATGGATCACGTCGCACGGCTCACTGCCAACCGTGATATGAGCATAGAAATGCTGCTGATCCACTCCCACCACCATGTGAGAGAAGACGAGCTACACTCCGGCCAGGCTGTAGAAAGGATCTTCTTTCTGTCTTTGTGGCTCGGAGAGCAGCAACCACGGGGCCAGGGCTGGCAGCTGAGGTGGCGCGACGCGGTTTTCCTACAGACGCTCCGTTCTGTTTCCTCTGTTGCCGCGTAGTGGCCACATGTTCGAGGGGCTGTGCAGAGAAATACAATCGTTGGAAGTAGTCCACCGCCTCTCCCAGAACCCTCAATCTCATGCACGGCAAGTCCTGGAGTGAACAGGGGAACAGGGTGTATCGCAATTTGTGAGTTTGATGCCCAACCACGGCTCACATAAGTGGTCCTTCTGTGATCCTGTGCTGACCCTCTACTGACCAACATGGTGAAGTATGGTAAAAACAACCCCACATTGGTAGATTGACAAGTAGCAGTGGCGACGTACTGACAATATCAGTTAACCTGCAGGAATACCGGTTAACTGAAAGGCGTTGCCCTTAAACGATTCAAGACGACGCGTATTTGGCTACGTGGAAGCGAAGTGTTTTTGTTTAGCACAGGGGTGGAGGTTGCCTTTGTGGACTGCGCTACTTTGTTGAAGTGTTCTGACTTTATTTGGTGCCTTGTGTAATTATGTCTTGATTGTAAGGTCCAGTAATTAAAACGGCAAAGATGGACAGGGTGATTTCCATCGTGTTACATTATTAAAAGTGTGCAGGGTTAATTTTGCTGCTAGCTGTATACAAGTCTCCATGATAAGCAAGAAGGCAGTGTTGAGTCGTTCACAGGTGGCCAAACCTGTTTTTTCATGCACAAAGAATATGCAGCGTAAAGATGTATCTTGGTGAGGAGGTCCTATACGTGGCATTAATACCTGTTTGGCTGAAACCAGATCACAACGTTTTGAACAATAAATGTATTGTTTTGTAAGGAGGTTCTAAATAATAAACAGCCGGCCAGGTGGTTCAGCGGTTAAAAGGCAGTGGCTCGCAATCTGGAGGTTGCAAGTTCAAATCCTGGTTGGGGGTTCACTCAGCCCATCAACCTTTGTGGGGGTCAGTAAAACGAGTATCCACTTTGTTGGGAAGTCAACGGTCGTTGTCCTACGGGTAGACCCGCCCCTTGCCGTGAGGAATGTGGAACTTCAACCACTCGCTCAGGGCTGTGAACAGGCATTGAGCAGCAACCCGGTGCTTTTTTGAGTAAAACAATACATTGGTTTTGAGAGCTGCACACGTACATTGCACTACATTGATATAAAAAATATATTCTGTTCTCTACATTGACGTTTTTCATAATTTGTGATCCACAGGAATGTGAAGTTGATTAAATCACAGATTTATGTTTGTTATTGAGAAATGAACCCCGGGGACGTGGGGTCACAGTTTTAAATAAAGGTCAAAACCAAGATCCAGTGGCAGCTGGAGGTGGTCGTTACGTTTACAAACCGGCTCTGGGCTGCCTGTTTGAAGCAGGAGACGTGTCCGGATTGAATTTGCTCGTGGCCAGTGTTAAAAACAAAAAGCTTTTGGGCCCAATTTTGAGAGCTAATCACGCACTCGTCACATCCCTCAGCAGAGGCGCTCATCACGTCCCTCAGCAGAGACACTCGAGAGTGTAGCATGACGGCTAGACGTCCCGAGTCACTCTGCAACGGAACCGCATCGCGACGTTTCATGTCATTAGTAATTTACTTGAACGTAAGCGCGTGACGGTGAAGAATGCGGGAGAATGTGGAATTGCCCTTCACTCCTCCGGGCCGTTGTTTCTGGGAAAACTAATGGCAGCGCTTTACCCACGGTCGGCGTCTCTTCCAAAATAGGGACTCCGACCAATGCAGTTTAAATAAGGCACTGTCGATCCATTCACTTGCAGTAATGTGCATGCCTAAGTCTGTGACCTGGTATAGATTGGGAGGTGTAATGAAGTGTGAATTTACATTGGAATATCTATCATTTGCAAAATTAAATAAAAACCCACATTTAATTAATGTTGCTGTTTTTCTATGCTATGATTACACTTTGCGCTGTTCTACAGAGACTCAATATTTAGTCACACGATGGTCAAACTGATATTTTTAAATGTAGGTGAAGTCAAGCTAAGCACGCATAATCAAATGTAACGTGGTCAGGGTTTTATTGTGCAGCCATTTGGTGACCCAGACTGAACTCAAAAACTCACAACGCTGGAGAGCTTCGTGTAATCGCGGTTGGTTGCCTGGGTTCGAACTCGGGTCTCAGGAGTTGTGGGTCAGTGTTCTGACTCCTACTAAGCGGAGCCTCCGGCCACTGCTTTACAGGTCCAGCAAGTCGTTTGCTTTGATACGGCAGCCTGCATGTTGATGAACCCACATCAAGGCTGTGCCTGCCGGCTGGCTCGGTGCTCCTGGGCCCTTTGCGCTGCTTGCGAGATCATCCTCGTGGCCGAGTCGCCTGCACGGCGTCGCGTCGTCAATGGCGTTTTCGACAGTGCTAGTCCACAGCTCTTACTCTTGCGAAAACCCCCAGGAGGTGCTTCATTCAGCCGGAGCACGCTGGAACGGTGGCGAGATTTTAAATACTTCGCCTGATATGCAGGAGGGTGTGGGGTCGATTCCGACCCTGACACCTGTATACTTGGAGTTTGCATGTTTTCCCCACAGTCGCATGTTTTTTCTCCAAGTCCTTCAGTTTTTCCTTTCTACATTTAGAAACATGATTCAAGTATTTGGCTCTAATACATTTTCACGTGATAAGCTACTTCATTGAACTCTCATCTGCTTCTGACAAAGAGCTATATAGCTGAGTGGGCCTTACCTGGTAAAATATAGTTTAGAATGCTGTTCCAGGAATTATTCTGGTCACGACACGTCCATCTTGCCTCATTTTCTCTATGCTCTTTGGTTCTTTCGGAAAAGTCACGTAGATAGAAAAATGAAGAGATCACGACGTTTCGATCGCAACACAAGCAACCGTCATCAGGTGAGACAAACAGCAGGAGAACTGCTGACACAGGAGAAAGAGCTGCTGCAATACGAGGTTTTATAGGCTTTAGGTGGGCTCAACCCAAGGGTAAGTGGGCGGAGCTAGAGATGGAATTTGTACGTAAATGTAAGAGATTAGCATGTCAATGTGAGACGGCTCCAGCAATCAGGGGCTGTGCCAATGAGAAGATTAGCATGTCAATGTCAGAGAGCCGGGCAACAAAAACAAAACCCGCAAGAGCAACTACGAGGAGAGACAAGCATGTCAACAAGAGAGATACACATGGAGAGAGAGACACACACAAAGAGACACAGAGAGACATAAAGAGACAAATGCACATAGAGTGTGGTACCGCCGCAGCGGAGCCGCTCCGTCGGGGCCGTGCCCACCACCGTGACGCCACCACCGGGGAGCGACGACGCCGACGCTGCGCGCCCCTCGCCGCCCCCCACATGAATGCATGCATACCCCACATAGAGCCGGGGGGGAGGTCACCTGGCTGGCGGGTTTTCGTCCAGAAGCCCCTAATGGGATCAAGCTTCATGGTTTCCTACGGCGGGGAATTGGGCGACCTACCCCCGAGGCTGACGGGCACCGCGGCGCCGTGACCTGGGATTGTAATTGCATGGTCATGGCAGGGGCTGTTGAGCCACCGTGGATGGAAACGCGCACACGCAACACGGGTCAGTGGGCTGGTAGCGGGAAGAGCAGAAAGCAGATGTCGAGGGGACCACTGCGGTGATGTCACCAGAGCTAGGATCCGACTATCAAAAGAGCGGGAAAATCCCGGTACCGGGAAGAGCAGAAAGCGAACGTCGAGGGGACCACTGCGGTGACTAGGATCCGACTATCAAAAGAGCGGGAAAATCCGGACCCCTGATTGGACGGGAGGCCAGAGGGGCGGGGCAGCGCGGTGCCCTTTGATGTGAGCGAGGACGATAAAAGAGGGTGAACCAGGGAGTGACGGGGGAGTTCTTCAAGGCATCGAGATCAGCGAGGTGTTGGAGCCAGCCGTTCGAGTCGTCTGTGTGACGAGGTTCAACGCAGCCAGGCCCAATCCTCCACGGAGACGACGTACAGTATCGCCCTTCCACAACTCCCGGCACATCAGATTGGGAGTAAGCGTAAGTAAGGGAGAGGTGAGTTTGGGCTAATTAACCAGAGGTTAGAAAGTGGAGCGACAGGCAGGATAAATAGAGTCCCGGATCCCCGAGGGATAGGCTAGTGTCTGCTGACCCACACAAACACGCGTAGTTTAGCGGGTTATTCGCGGGGAATAAAATCGCCAGTAGAGGATAAACTGTGTCGTGTGGTCTTTGTGAGTGTGAAGAGGAGGGTGGAGTGCCTTGTGTTCGCATGCATGCACGGCTGTTTAAAGCGAAGAGGAGGGTGAAGCGCCTGGTGTTCGCGTACACACGCGGCTGTTTAAACGGCCTTTAAATCGGGGCGGAGTGACTCCCCCCCATCAGCGGCACGCGCACGGTGGACGCCACCCCTGATGTCTGACCCCCGACCCCGGGTCCCGTGCGTGAGCGCTTGGTGTGGTCGCGGAGTCACGCATCGGCACGCTGTATCCCTTTATTTACTTACGAGGCGGGGTTTCACTCCGCGGGCGCGCTCACTGCAGCACGTCCGCCCCGGAGCCCGCGTAACGCGTCGTAAGCGTAAGGCGGTCAGTTCCAGCAATTGAATCATGAATACGCGGGGGGCAGCAGCAAAGTCGGGGGTACAGGGGAGCGAAGAATTGGGGGGCGGTAGCTCGCACCCGACAGAGCAGTCGGGGAGCAGTAGCTCCGTCACGACGGAGGAGTCAGGGGACAATGGCCCCGACAATTTGGTGTCGGAAGCGGCACGAACCCGCAGCGCGTTACCCCACGCAAAAATAAGACACTCACCGGCCAGGGAACTCCGTCATGGAAGGCGTTTGCCCGCAACGTTTAAGGGGCTAAAAAAATTAATGGTTGGACAGACGCGCAGGTGTTAGAGCAACTGGCCATGCACTTAGATGTACGGGCAGCTGACTTCACGGAATCCCTACCTGCGAGCACACAAACCCAGCTAGCAGAGCTAATGCGCCAACTTGACCTGCGGTTCAGCATGAGTAATGAAGAGGAGGCAAAGACCGCCTTAGAGGCATGCCGCCGCCAACCCGGCGAGGATTTGCGTGACTATGCCGAGGACGTGCGCACGCTAACGCAGCTCGCACGCCCAGGGTACACGGCGGAGGCCGTTGAGGACCTCGCCTCCGAGAAAATCCTACGGTACTTAACTCACACCTCGTGGTGGCACCCCATTCTAAGCTGCACCCGCCTTTCCTTTAACGCCCTTGTCGAGCGCGCGCGTAAATGTGAAAGAATTTCCAGCGAACGCGCGCAACTCCGAGGGCTGGGACGAGAGCGCACCATCGCAAGCCTGTCCCCAGAGGAGGAACAGGAGCTCGCCAGGACGGTAAGGGGTCGGGAAAGGGAGCCTACGTTATCCCGCGAGACAACCCCGGGATGGGTAGCGGGGATACAGACGGGCATAAGGGATATAACCGGCCAGGTGACCCACGTACGTGAGGAAGCGAGCCGGAACATGACCAAGCTACAGTCCACAGTGGAGACCATTCAGTCCGAAATGGGAGAACTGCGCTCCACGGTAGGGGGGCTAACTGGATGAGTGTCCCAACTAGAGGCAGAGTCTGGGCAGAGGCGTGCTGGGGAGGGAATAGGGAACGGGCGGGGGGGCTCCTACGGGGCTGCCCCCCGGGCGTGTTACCTATGCGACCGCCGCGGGCACCTCGTGAGAGACTGTCCTCAGATCGCCCACGCTAGACATGCGCCAGAGTTAAACGCCAACGCCCCCTAGAGAGTGGACCACCTAGGGGTGCAATCAACGAGGTCCCGAAACAAAACGACAATAGTAATAATGGTGAGCGAGTGACCTCCACACAGGTTCCGGCAACAACACCCAAGAACGTGGTGAGTACGGGCGACTGGCTGCGGGAGTTGGTGGCGGGAATCATGGGGGCCACGTCGCTGGTAGGACAGGTGAACGGGCGGCGCACCCGGATTCTGCTGGACACGGGGGCGGTGGCCTCACTCGTGAGCGCCACAAACTGCAGCGTGCTCGGGGTTGACGTGGGCCGCCTGCAGGCCCCGGATTGCGCGCTGCACACGGCGAGTGGAGCCGGGATGGGACTTCTGGGGAGGGTTACCCTGGAAGTCCGTCTCGGACGCCAGGTGTGCACCCAGGAATTCTATGTCTTGAGTGTGTTGTGCCATGAGTGTATCGCAGGTACAGACCTCCTGGAAAAGCTGGGGCTCAACGTGCAGCCCTGCCAGCGATGCGCCACCGTGGAGGGCACTGGGGAGCGGATTCCGTTCCTGGGACCCGAGCCGAATCGCCCTCACTTCACACCCGTGGCCACTACGCTGGTGTCGGCCATCACCATCGGGTCGCTTGCCGAAATGCTGGTGCCAGTGGCAACCCCCTCCACCGACCCCACACACCGACCATCGGGCGAGGTAATGCTAACTCCTCACCCGGAGTTAGCGGCGCGGTACGGAGTTGTGGGGTCAGCCACTCTGGTAAACGCAGATGGGGGCCGACTGTTTATGCGGGTGTTTAACCCACACAGTACCCCGGCAATGCTATGACGACGCACCACGGTAGCTACCATACACCCCCTGCATGCACACCACTCTAACGACTCGGTTTTTGCACTCTGGGCGGAGGACCCCGGTCACCCCGAGGACAACCAGGACCTGGCCTGGCGAGTCGGCCCGACTCCCCGAGCCGAGGTCGTCCCCTTGCGTGATGCGTAACATGTGCCTTGGGCGGATTTACCTAAGGGGGAGGCCGATCAGCTGCGCGGGTTATTGCAGAAGTACGCCGACGTGTTCAGTGAGCACGATTCAGACGTGGGCAAGACAGACCTTGTTAAGCACCAAATTGACACAGGTGCAGCCTGACCCATCAAACTCCCCACATACCGAGTGGGCGCGCCTGAACGGGCCCAGATCAAAGAGGCAGTCGCGGATAT